TTCTCCATCCTTTGCTGCAAAGAATATAATCAGTCTGTTTTCGATATTGCCCATCTGGTGATTTCCATGTGTAGAGTTGCCTCTTGTGTGGTTGGAAAAGAGTGTTTGTGGTGACCAGCTTGTTCTCTTGACAAAACTCTATTAGCCTTTGCCCTGCTTCATTTCGCACTGTAAGGCCAAACTTTCCTGTTGTTCCTTTTCCTCTTGACTCCGTACTTTAGCATTCCAATTCCCACTATAATGAGAAGAAAATCTTTCTTTGGTGTCAGTTCTAGAAGGTGTTGTAAGTCTTCATAGAATTGGTCAGTTTCAGTCTCTTCAGCATCGGCGGTTGGTGCATAAACTTGGATGACTGTGATGTTGAAAAGTCTGCCTTGGATTCGTATTGAAATTATTCTATCATTTTTGAGATAGTATCCCAGGACACTTTTTCCCATTCTTTTGCTGACTATGAGGGCTACTCCATTTCTTCTACGGGATTCTTACCAACAATAGTAGATATGATAATTGTCTGAACTGAATCCACCAATTCCTGTCCATTTTAGTTCACTGATGTCCAGGATGTCAATGTTTATTCTTGCCATCCCGTTTGACCACATCCAACTTATGAAGGTTCATAGATCTTACATTCCAGGTTCCTATGCAGTATTTTTCTTTGCAGCATGGGACTTTCCTTTCACTTCCAGGCACGTCCACAGCTGAGCATCCTTTCGGCTTTGGCCCAACCACATCATTAGCTCTGGAGCTAACTGTACTTGTCCTCTGCTCTTCCTCAGTAGCATGTTGGACTCCTTCCAACCTGAGGGGCTCATCTTCCAGCATCATATCGTTTAGCCTTTTGTTTCTGTTCATGGGGTTTTCTTGGCAAAGATACTGAAGTGACTTGCCAGTTCCTGCTCCAGGTGGATCACGTTTAGTCAGACCTCTCCACTATGACCTGTCCGTCTTGGGTGGCCCTGCACGACATAGCCCATAGCTTCTCTGAATTACTCAAGCCCCTTCGCCATGACAAGGCAGCAATCTGTGAAGGGTTGTTTTACTTGTGGTGGATATAAAAATTCCCCTATCAAACCAATGAAAAGTAGAAAGAAGGGTGAAGGATCCCTAAAGTTTATGCAACAGCTGATTTGAGTTGAAACTGTGTATGGTGGGGATGCTGTTTGGCCCCTCTAGACATTCAGTAAACCAGGAGAAACAAAGCTTTTGTAAGTTTTGCATAGAGTTCTATAGGCCACATGCTGAGAATAAGCAAATTAAGAGCTTTAAAGATCAATTTTCAAATTAAGAGCTTCAAATAGCCATTTGCAAACTAAGGGGTATTTGAAAAGAAATAAAGAAAATAAAGCTCATTTGAGTACAAAATCCTTTTATGTATGGTCTTTAGAAAGCAGTCATGTCAAATAGAAGGTGAGAAAACCAAAGTTTTGAGAAAAGAGCTGTAGCTGCCAAAAGATACACTATAGAGCATGAGTGGACCATTTCTAAACATTCACCAATCTTTTTTTCTATGAAACTAACTGTCACGGCCCAGGCTTTTTCATAACAAAGAAAGCTAGATGTGCACATTTCTTTGAAAGAGTTCAAAGCAACAAATAAAAATCTATAATATCGTCTTGTCTACATTCTGTTGAAACTACCTATCCACCTAAGAGTATTTCAGCTTTTTGTATGACAGAATATTTGCCCAAGCTCAGAGACTGGAAGTAGGATTCCAATCCATGTTCATACATATTTGCTAAGAAAATGTATTTGCTATGCTCACCTACTTCCAGAGATATGTATTTTGTACATGAGTATTCCTGTGTAATACCTAAAGTGAGAGGCAATCTAGACTTGATTCAAAGTCACATTCTCTTTATTCAAACTATAGACTTTAATTATGTGCATGTCCTCCTCAAGTGCAGATTCTCTTCCATTTTGTGGTTTCCTCCAATCAAAGTGATGTCTAAATTAGGATAACAATGAATTATTTAATATCCAAAACTACAGTCACTTAACTGAGATGTCAATTGTTTTTTTGAAATCAAACATTTCTGATTTCTCTGCTGAAGGTCCTAAGGCTTTCATGGCAACACTTTTCTCATTGGGAAGTTGCTGGGAGCCATAGGACAGGGGCGCAGCCTTTAATTATGGAAAATGGCGACTGAAGTGGTGATTTTAAATAAGTGGCCCTCCACAGCTTCCTGACAGAAAGGATTCTTGGGGCCTTCAGGGGGAAAATCAGAAATGTCTGATTTCTGAAAAACTGCTGTGGTTGATGATGTCATCCACCTTAAGTGGCATAACATATGGCAACAGGATTTTAGCCATTATAAATATTAGAGAGCTAATTTAATTCCTCTACCTCCATTACATGACTGCATCAATTTACAAATGTGAAATACTTCACCTATTTGCAGTAGGCATTCATGGTTTTAAAATAAGACTAAAGAAGACTTGTGATCTTAGAAAACAAACTGTGTAAGTTGCTATACATGACACCGAACTGGATGATGGTATTGACATCTTTGCTTGGTACTAGCCTTGGACTTTTAAATATTTATATAGACAGTGTTCAGCTAAAAAGAAACACTAATTCCAAAGCAAAGAACAAATACAGAAAGGGAGTCTACAAATTCCTATTGTTCAGAGTATCAAATAAAAGATCATCTTGTGATTTAATTGATCATTTTGCTATATCAAAAAGAAAAACTTGCTTGTGGAAAACATGTTTCAGCAATAGAAATGTGGATTATTTTTGTAGCCCTGCAATATATTTGTTGCACATTGAACATATATACATTGTGAAATCTGTATCGGGTCCTTTTTAATCTACAATTAGTCTAGTATATGAAATCTTCTAACCTTCTTCAAAAGACAGGAAGTCCTCTGATATTCATTAAGATGCAAGGTACAATTCCCAGCAAATTTAACATATGTAATTGGGACTGATTTGCCAGACTGGTTCGTTAAGAAAGATAGAATTCAAACAAGACACAGTATGTGAAAAAAGAAAGTTCTTGGAACTTTTTGATTGCTTTGAAGTTAAGCAATGCAAAATTTTGTTTAACAGGGATAAGTCAAGTCCTACTTCTTTGCTTTATCAATATTATAAACATCAACACTTTCATTTTTGGGTGCAGTAAATGAAGACGGTTCTTGACATCTTCCTTTTAGAAAGGCGTTCTCAACACGAAGTCCTTCAACTTCCTGTAAAGAAAGAATGAAATGCTTTATGTGACTAATCCTTCCTGGTGGGTCCGAAAGGGGGTGTCTGAAAGGATGGGTTTAAGTCAAGGGTGTTGGAAGGTCTTTCAGCCAGAGACGCCAATTCAATTTTAGAGTAATTCTCAGGAACTCCACTACAGTGGTTGAGTAGGGCTAAAAGCTTTATTTTGACTTAAATCTACTATTGTCAACAACAAAGCTTTAGGAGAGGCAAACTTCTACAATGGAAAAAAGCTGAAAAACTATCAAATGATAGTGTCATAACAGAGCATGGCAGTCTAGGGAATCAGAGGGTTAGACTGGATTCACAGGACAGCCAGATTCAGCCCCAGGGCTTCTCCTACCCAAGAAGGCAGGGATCACAATCACCATACTTTTGAACCAATGATGGTGATCCTGGGCTCCTTAACACAGTTCACTCTGTAAGTGAACCTATAGGCAGAGGGAAAAACCCTCAAAGAGCCCAACAAAGAATGGTAAAAATATGTTATAGCTGAGAGGAGTGCTAAAAAGTGAAGAGCCTTACCACCAACAGGAGAGTGTATTACTTTGGACATACTGTGCAAGGACCTTGTGACTCAGTGTCCTATTACTTTCTATGTCTTGTCTTACACACATTTAATCTTACCTCTATCAGTTTAGCATGTTCTTTCTTCAACTTTACAAGATACTGAATCTTCTGATTTACATTTTGGTGGCCAACCAGCTTCCCATTCTCCTCAGCAAGAGATTCAATCTGTTTCCTCAAAAGATACATCTCCTGTGTTACAAGAAAAGCACCAGAACATTACTGACTGTACATGAACACAGGATTAATCTACAGCTTGTGTGACAGAATACATTCTTGACTTTAAAAATAATATTTTACTATAGATGAAAGGACTCCAATGGGAAGAATTATATTTTTGTTCAGACTCTGGTGAGATTTACTCACCATGTCACCAATATCTGATTCCAAGTCCAATTACCTACTAACAGAGTTACGTACTTTTTCAGATTTTACTCTTTCTTCACACATTTCGTCCAGTTTTGATCTCATTTCTTCTTTCTCCTTGAATGTCTTTGACTCCAAACATTTTACTCGTTCCAGCTCTTGAACCATTTCCTGAAAGGCAATTGTTTTGCTTCCCAGTTCATTTCTGGTGTTTTCCAACCTACAGGGAGGAAATATATGTAGTGACATTAATTGTAAAACTGATACACCAAAATGCTTCTTGTTTGTTATTTGTAAATTCTATCACAGGTTCCTAAATTTTCCTGCAAGTACAAAATAGTGCATGGTGTGAGAACTGCATTATTCAAATACAATTAGACATGACTTAGCAACTACCTCACCTGATGTAATTTAAATGACTAATCTTTTTCAATGTTCCTTACAACAAACACAAGGGTTTGGATTAAACTGCTAGATTTAGCAATTAGAGGGACTAGCAACTGGATTTTGTCCTAGAAAGTTTACTTCATTCTTAAACTCTGAGTTGGGTCATTGAGGAAGAACCACCTCAGATGACCAGTGAAATAAACTCTACATCCCTAAATTTAAAGTGACATAGTATTTGTTAATTTAATTCCTTTCCAATACAGTTCAGTGCACACATACATGACTGCTTTGAATCAGTACAGTGGTGCCTTGAGTTATGAACTTAATCCGTATTGGAACGGTGGCCGTAAATCAAAGCAGCATTTCCCATAGGAATGCATTGAAAACCCATTAATCCATTCTGGCTGTTTTTTGTTCTTATGCCAAGGCATGGCTCATAAGGCGAAGCATTAGTTCCCATAGGAACTAATGCAAAGCCGGTTAATCTTTACTGTACCACTAGGGGGAGATTTTTTTCTTCTTCTTTTGACCTAAAATGAACTTAGGTCAAAAAAAGGGCAGGAAAGGGGGTTTTTTTGTTCGTAAGTCAAAGCTCCGTTCGTAACTCAAAGCAACATTCTGCATCCAGAGCTGCTCGTAAATCAAAACATTCATAGGTCAGGGCATTCATAAGTCAAAGCACCAATGCTGTATTTTAGGTTATGTTATTATTTCACTGATTCTCCAGACATAATAGAAAACATTTCTTAACAGACACCACAAATGGTTGAGCACATGATGGCCACTTATGTGTGTGTCAGCTTAGAACTTTGATAGAAATAGTATCTTCTAATGATTCAGCTCTCTTTGAAAAGATGATGCTTAATGTACACATTGTGGCAAACTTAACGCACTAACAGGAGCGTGGTGGCACAGCGGGTTAAACCGCAGAAGCCTCTGTGCTGTAAGATCTGTAGATCTTCAGCTGTAAGATTGAATCCACGTGACGGAGTGAGCGCCCATCACTTGTCCCAGCTCCTGCCAACCTAGTGGTTCGAAAGCATGTAAATGCAAGTAGATACAGTGGTGCCCCGCATGATGACAATAATTCGTTCCACAGCAATCACTGTACAGCGAAAATGTCATCATACAAAAAAAAAATCCCCATTGGAATGCCTTCCAATGGGGAAATTACCTCATCGTCCAGTGAAAATCCTCCACAGGGAAGCCATTTCCTGAGCACTGATCAGCTGTTTTTAATGGCTATCTTCTGAAGCATGGGTTGGAAAACAGTGGGAAGCCATTTTGCAATGTTGTAAAAATCATCATATTATGAACAAACGATTCACGAAGCATGGACCTATTCCATGTCCAGCGTAAAAACCCATTGGAAACATCGTTTTGCGATCACTATAGCAATCGTAAAAAAGTCACTGTCCTGCGGTTTCGTCGTTCTGCAAGGTCATAATGTAGCAGGGCACCACTGTAAATAGGTACCACCTCAGTGGGAAGGTAACAGCGTTCTGTGTCTAAGTTGCACTGGCGACCACGGAAACTGTCTTCGGACAAATGCTGGCCCTATGGCTTGGAAATGAGGATGAGCACCGCCCCCTAGAGTCAAACACGACTGGACAAAAATTGTCAAGGGGAACCTTTACCTTTTAACCCACTAATGCTGAAATCATATTCACAACTTCTTTTAAAGTATGCATGTAATCATGCATAAAATTAGATTGTCGATTCTACAGAGCAGCGGTCCCCAACGTTTTTCGGACCACAGTTGAGGGGTGGGGTGCTCAGTGTGTGGACTGGTTGGGGCAGAGGCACCCCTGCACTCACGGGTGGGTGTGTCAGAGGGGTGTGTCACATTTACGGAGGGGCATGTCGCGCATGTCCCTCAATACCCCCCTCCGTTCCCCACCCCCCCACAACTGGGCACCCACATTGGCAAGTCAACACTCATCTCCTCACCCTCTCCCCCTTCCTCCCCTCCGCCTGCGACACAACAAAACTCCCAACAGCATGAAAGGGGCCAAATGGACACTCAACTGCCCTCTGTCACCCTCCTCCCATGAGCGCCGCAACAACCTGCTGGGTCTCCAACACCCTCCACCTCTCCAACACCGGAGAAAAGAGGAGCCCAATGCACAACGGACACCCCAGCACCACCTCCGCCACCAGGCACAACACTCCCCTCCACGCCCGCCAACCAACCAAAACCACCACTTTCCTGGCCTCCAGTGAGAGCGAAGGAGAAAGGGACAGAACACAGTCTCCCCCCAAAAAGAGCTGCAAACACAAGCCTCAGAAAAGGAGGAAGAAAGAGGGAGGAAGGCGAGAGGGAAACACCCAACAAGCAGCACATCCTCAACCTACACACCATCCACATATTCAATTCCCCACAACGCTCCATCCCTTCCACAGAAACACTGGACGGGAGGAGACCGTCCAAAAGCAAATCTCATTGAAAAAAGGGGGGAGAAGGCAACAAGCCCGGCCCACCCCCCTCTACTCCCAATTCAATCCACTCTCCCTCCCTCCCTGTGAACACCAGAAACTCCTCAGTGCTGTGCTCCAACAGATCTCCTCCTCCCTCCCACCCCACCCAACCAGTGCCCCCAAAACAATTCTCCCTCAGAGAAACAGCTGCCCCAGTGCACCATGTGCCGACTCCCCTGCCACCCCATTGCCACCACTGCCTCCCCGTCCAATGCCTACACACCCAAAAAACCAAGCACTCGCCCCAAAACTGAAACCCCAAAGAAGGCCCCTGTTCCATCCCAACACCTTTCTTTCAAAAAGAGGTCATCGCCCCAAAAACAGCTCACCCGCCCNCAAACAATAAAAAAGCCACGATCTGCCTCGGCATGAAGAGGAGGGAGGGAAAAAAACACACAGACACACAAACACGAGAGATCATCTCTGCAGAAAAAGCAAACCCACACAGCCTCCACACATTCCGGCAACGAACTTACAAAGGAGAAAGCCAATTTCCCTCATCAAGGAGACACCCCTCCACAGCCTCCTCTCTCACCGGAATAGGTGTACTAGATGTCCAGATTATTGATTTAGATCAATCAGTCTTGAGAGTACTAAACAGGGTCGCCCTGAGGTGTGATATATGCCATCTGGGGGTAATCCCTGCATCTGCATGCAAGGATCAACTGCATGGCACCTAAAATGACCCTGTTTAGAATAATCAAAAATGTTCTTTGAGAAAGGATTCTCTCAAGATTGTTAAGCAGCTGGTTAACTGTCTCTTTGGTGAAGCTGATTAATAAGGAAAGTTTCCTTTCCACTTGGCTTTGGAGGGGAAGAGACAGGAAGTTTTGCTTGAAATGAAAACTCCCGCCCATTTGGGTGAGAGGAGAGATGATCCCTCACGCCCGTGTGGTACTGCATGCCCCCCCATCCCCATCCCAAAGCGGAGGGCAGCTTCCCCATCATTTATCTATCTGTGAGAAGGCAAGCAGAAAGCGAGCCCGGCCCACCCCCCCTCCACTCCCAATCCAATCCTTTCTCCCTCCCTCCCCGCAAACACCATAAACTCCTCAGTGGTGTGCTGCAAGTGGACAAGACGGCTGCTCCCCCTCCCAAAAAACAACAACAACACCAAACTGAGATGGAACAAAAGGTCCTCCCCGGGGGCCCAGCTTCCAAGCGAGCACCTGGCTATCCATGTGCAAAAGCGTTAGACAAAACGGCAGCGGCAGCAGCAGGGCAGTGAAGGGGCAGAGGAACCAGGATGCACAGGGCACCGAGGCGGCCATTTCTTTCTCTGCCCTGAGGGAGAACCGACCCCAGGGCACCGGTGGGGTGAAAGGCAAAAAAGAAGGGGGGAAAGCTACCACAACACAACACTGAGGAATCTCCAGCACTTGCAAGGAGGGAGGGAGAGCAGACCAGACCAAGAGTGGAAAGGGGATGGGCCGGGCCCGCCCCGTCCCCCCTCTCCTCCATGGGACCTGCCCTCAGTCTCCTCCCATCCAGCACCTCCATAAAAAGGGGGTGGAAAGCTGCAGGGGATAGATCACACAAACAGTGTGTGGGTTGGGAATGCTCTGCCTGCTGAGCACTCCCCCCCTTGCCTCTCCCTCCCCCTCCACCCCTCTGAAACCTGCATTCACAGCCCCCCTGGGGGGAGACCATGTTATGTTCCCCCCCCACTGGAAGATGGGGAAACAGTGGCTCCAGTCAGGGGGGTGGGTGGGGTAAAAATGTCCTTTGTCACCTGGTGCTGCGATAGGCAAAAGGAGTGGGGAGGGGTGGAAAAGAGCGCCACACCTGGTGGCAGAGGCGACATTGGGGTGTCCACTGCACATCAAACGACCCTTTCTCCAGTGGTGAGGAGGCGGAGGGCGCCAGAAACCCGGCAGGCCACCGCAGTGCTCATGAAGGGAGGGCGATGGAAAGCAGCCAAGCTTCCACCTGACCCCTCATGCCGCAAAGAGCTTCACCATGTCGCAAGCAGGAAGTAGAGCAGGAAGAGGGAGAAGGAAAAGGAAGAAATGAGTGCCAACCTGACAGCATGAATACCTGGGCCGTGGAAGGGACAAGGAATGGAGGGGGGCACCACTGAAAGACAAGCGCGACACCCCCGTGCGGGTGGGGGGGTGGAGTTCCATGTCCGCAGCCCAGGTCCAGGAAGCCCACCGGCACTGGGCTGCAGAGCAGGGGTTGATGATCCCTGCTATAGAGGCCCCACCGTTTATTTGCCCTATAATCACACAAATACTCTTCATTTGACACATTTCTGCACATTTGTCTGAAGATAATGCATGTTTCCCTTAGAACAATGGTCCCCAACCTTGGGCCTCCAGATGTTCTTGGACTTCAACTCCCAGAAATCCTGGCCAGCAAAGGTGGTGGATCACACAAATACTCTTCATTTGACACATTTCTGCACATTTGTCTGAAGATAATGCACGTTTCCCTTAGAACACATAAAAATGTTCCTCCCAGCATACAGATACGTTCTTTTTACTGCTGTCATTGCAAGTTGCTTGTAACCTTCTTTATAGAATATTCCTGTATAAATGTTTGGCTTTAAAGCAACTTCAGATTATTTTTGCTTGTAAAATGCATTGTAAATTTCTATTTACAAAGCAATCTTGTGGCAAATATTATAGTTTTCTGCTGCCACCTGCTGACTGAAAGTGGGAACAAACTCACTGTGCTCAGAAAACGTGTTATTTATAATCTTCATATTTGGTGCTATGTAGGCTTATCTTTCCTGTAAGTGAACTGTTGACATAACACATACTTTAAATATACATCAGTGTCAGAGATATTGAATATTAAACTTACTCAGATCTGATTTTTTGCATTTCTTCCATTACTTTATTCTGAAAAAGAAGTGTCACATTATTGTGATAGTCTGAAGTTATACTAGCAGTGATACCGTGTT